TAATGCTTTGAGGATCATAACGAGACCTTTTTTAGTTCTGCGGCCACATGTTACTTTATCACTGAGATTAGCTCGATGCTGTGAGTTCTGGCAACCCAGATCACGGACTTTCTGATTGGTCAAACGGTGGAGGGCTGGACATCGGAATGAAAACAATAACAAGGCGTTTAGGCGCTGTGAAACCAATTTTGAAATCCAAATATCTCTGAACTACTGTTATCAGTGAAAGAATTATTGGAAAAGAGCATGCTTTATTAATGCCTTTTGAAAGATTAGGGCCATTTAGTGATGACTTGACATGAAAATCTTACATACTGCTACTTTAAACAATTCACATGTTTGTTATAATAAATAGTCCAGCAGATTACAATGACAAACGTGTATAAAGCAAGCGGTGGTGACACAATGCTAAAAATATGCGGCCTCAGGCATCTCTGACCTGAAAAATGATCCAAGTCTCCAATCAAAACGCAACAGAGTTCAGTGGCCGGCAGCCAGCAGATATGAAGTGAATTTAGAACATTACCCCATTGTCTTAACTGTTTGGTTTGGCTCTCGAACAGGTTTTTGCTTATTAGTCTTTGAAGTCAGAATGTCAGAAGATAAATGCTTCAGGAAAACTTGTGAGCGGAGACTATCGCAGATAATGACTTTTGATAATGACTTTTCATCTTGCTGTTATTGGTTTAATCGTCCTGTCGCTGACTCAAAGCATGAGAAAACTATAGACTGGATATATATTTATACAGGAGTGGACTGACTGAGTCTTTGCCTTAATGCCGAAGAGGTTGATTAGCGCTGGCTCGAACAGGCGATTTGAGCAGGAATGTGATGCCAAATGTAAGCACAATTTGATGCTGGCAGACCAAATTGCCGTAGTCGCTAGCTAAAGGCAATTTCAGAAACACAAGGTTAGCAAGTAGTCTGTTGTTTGGGGCTCATATCTGGATTTACAAAACCAATGTCGCAATTGGGTTTCATATGACGTTGGGGCAGTGGCGCGAATGACATACATTGGACAGCCGACCGGACCGGACGTGACGTACCCTGGCGGTGCAGTATATGCACGGAGATATAGTAGAAGAAGATGCACTAGCAGTTTTCAGCTAAAATGCCATCGTGCGGTGTACGGTTGTAGCAACCACGCAAATAGAGAGAAAGACAAGAGTTTCTTCAGTGTTCCAACTGTGGTCTCATATAATGGAGGACACTTTGAAAAAAATCACTCGAATGAGGCGGACGAGGCGCATCAAGGCTTTCCCCAGATAAGCGCCCCCTGCAGGCCACCCCAATGAAATGCAGCAATTTCTTCTAGTTTTTTTTCCAAAAAAAAGTACCAAAAAAAAAATATTTTTTGGTACTCCCTTAGAATTGAGTGTCCCCCCCCTTGATTAAGACTGTTACAACAACCTTTTGACTCCGAAACAGACAAGATATACATGGTTTTCAGTAGGAGTAAAACTGAGTTGTCCCATCTCTGCTCATTCGCCCCCTACTGGCCAGGTTAATGAAACCCAAGAATTAAACACCATGATTGAAGAGAGCATTAAACCTCAGATTTTTTAAGCCCAAAATGGTGAGTGTGACACAAACAGTTACTGAGCTAGAGAACTTTACTATTCACTGTAAGTCAATAGGAGCCAGAGCGAGTTGGAGCAAAACTTTGTCCATGTGCACTTCCTCAGTGGGCTTCATTGAGCTCAGGGGTTTGCCATGTCCGCCTATGAACAGTGTGTGGATAAACAAAGCACATTGTCTATATATAAACATATCAGACATCGCGCTGTCCTCATCTTACTAGAAAACTTCTTTTACATGTTTGTGAGAAAGAGCCTTGTTGTTTACTACTCTAATTTTAGTCATGCAAATGATATAAACTAGCAATGTATCAAACTGTTTTTAGAACTAGGAAGAAGGTTTTAAAAATAGAAAAAAAATTAGTTAGAGATATTTTGGTCATTATAAGTGAAGTAATTTACATACATGGACTTCCAGGAACAAAGCATAACCGCAGCCTTATTTGACTATAAAGCCTTATTTTACCTACAGGACCTCACGTTCTCACCAGAGTAAACATTAAACGACACTAAAGAAAGTACCGTAATGACCAAATCTACATTTTCTCATTCTTTTTTGCAATTACTTTTATTTAGGAAACACATGGTAATTGAGATTCATAGGATTTTCAAAAAGCAAAGTATTTTCGTAGACTTCAAGAGACACTGTCAAACTAAAACCATGCTATTGGTGCTGTCTGAAGCTGTAAATAATCTGTGGCAATGCTCCTGCACCATTTGACCTGCTGTGTGAAGATTGGATTATAAAAAATTACTTCTTTTTTTTTTAGATATTAATAAAAATGCTGTCCCAAATTGATATAAGAGATTGAGGTCAAAGTTTGTCCATCCCAGAGTCTGTATATGGTAAAGTGGAGAGACACAGGGGGCCACAATCCCTCGGGCTTTACATAACTTTTCCTTGAGAATGTTCTCCAAATGACCACGCAGTTTGCAGCCAAAAGACTATTTGACTTTGCAGCACTCACTTTATACTGTAGCCTCATTTCAATATTAAGGCTCGGTGAATTAAATATGCAAATACTGACAAGCTTATTATTTTCCTTGTTAATCTAAATAATCCTGTCCTACATTATGATCCTATTGTTTATTACTGAAGGATAAAGGTATTAATGTGGACACGTGTCGTATATTGATTTACTTCTTTGATAATAAACCAAACTTTCATGGTAAAAGCTTTTACTCTCCACCATCTAAATGCATGTATCTTTCAATGGACCTATAATGAGAACATAGACTATCGCTAATAGTTAGTGAGAGTTTTATGTGTGTGTGTTTTGTCAGGCCTCTTGTGTGTTTTGTTGCAGATTCATAGTAAATATTAAGCTCTCATCACTGCCTGAACAGCTGGAGTTGAACTGATAAAATAAAGTTGATTTACAGAGATAAAGCCAGTGAGATATTTAGATTTGAATCAATTTTGAAAAAAAAATCAAACAGTGAAAACCGACTAGCACTTTGAGATGTGTTCTTATATGTAAAGCACATTATAAATAAAAGGCATTATTATTATTAAGAGGAAATGCAATAATTACAAACTGATGGAAGCCGATGGCCCTCAGGGAACGGATGTCCATAAATGTGAATAAATGTAATTAAATGTTCCAGATCATCACCATTGTCCTTAGACCTTCCTGTATTCCTAAGGAACAACTCAAAAACCCAGTGGTAGAAAATAAAGAAGTGTTTTTTTAACACTGAAGAGGAACACACCCCAACAGCCCAAACGTTTCCTTTCAATGTTCTTTTCACATCTGATAAATAAACATCTGTCTATTGAGCTGTTGGCTGATTTGAGTGCAAAGTCACATTAGCACATTTTGACAGGGATTCTGATAAACACAACCACATACCTTCAAGTGAATGCAGACTAAGCAGGGCAGGGCCTGGTTATTTGAAGATTTGACCACACTGCCTTTATGAGGCTGTTGTGTCTGTGAATCCTTAGTGGTGGACACCTCACTTCCATCAGCCCACCCCAGGGCAGCTGTGGCTATATAAGTAGTTTACATCATTGTGTACAGAGTGAATGTGAAGCATCTTTGAGAGCGATATAAATCTGATACTTTACGATTATTGTAATTATCATTATGTTAAACCACAAAAACAAAATTTTCCGATATTTCAAACAAGATTGACTGAGGGATAATATTTGGTGCAAATATTGGGCACTATTGACACATATTTGCTCACAACAGCTCAAGCATCTCCTGTCGTTATTGGTAACAAACTCAAACAGTTGAAAAAGCTGGACCCGGTCTGGAATGCTGAGGGACTTGATACGTTTAGGTTTAGAGATAAAGATGCTACAAAACATTTGTCAGTGTTTATCATTTGCCTGATTCTAGTTTTGGCATAAAACTTCATCATTTACAGATCATAAAAAGTGATACGATCCAATGCAATAATTCAGTTTTTGCTTAGTAAAAACATTTATAATTTAATAATGTCCAAGCATGTGTAGTGAGGTACAGTACATTCCAATCAAAGCAATAACATCTCAATAGCAACAAGGGTTTACAAACAACAACTGAGATCAAGAAAAGTTACACAATGCAATTTATTGACCTTTCATGTGTCATGGTTTTTTTTTTTATCTCCAGGTTTTCATGCTCAGCTTGTCAAGACAGAGCTGGAAGATTTGACCTATTGAACATGTTGTTTAATGGTAAGGGAAACGGGAGCACCTGGAGGAAACCTACACAGACACAGGGAGAACATTCAAACTCCACACAGAAAGACCCTGTTCCGACTGGAATGCGAACCCAGGACTTTCTTGCTGAAAAGCGAGAGTGCTAACCACTGGCATCAATTTGTCAATGAGAAAATATTGTATAGTATTTTTTACTGTAAATAGTGTTTTTCTGCCACTGCTTTTCTGTATTCTCTAATTGTAATGTGTTTTTAAGTCCATGCTTTTCTCAACCGTGTTGCTTTTATTAGTGCTTTATGAATAAACTGAACTGGACTGGACAAGATGAAAGCTAGCTAACCATGTTGATGTGAACTTGAATTGAAAAGCAGGGCTGGTGGAAACGGGGCTAAAGTTCTGAGATAGTTTGACACACGCTAATTAGAACCAATGGTCAGTGTGAAGATATGAGCCACATTTCCTTGTTTCCGTGGTTAAATATGAGTTCCTGTGGTTCGTGTCCAGTCTAAAACCCTGGACAGTGAGGGCGGGAGGCAGATGCAGAGGAGGCGGGCGGACATGGAGGAGGAGGAGGTGGGGGGTCAGGCGTTAACTTCCCTGAATGACGCTGCGGCTGCTGCTCCTCCCCGATAGCGCAACTTTTTCGCCTTCACAACTTCGCACTGATGTCTCCGCACTTTCTCTCAGCTGTTTTGATGATAGCAACAGGCGAAGACACTTTGGACATGAAAGTTGAGACCAGATAGACGCAGTACCCCCCAAACTTCACCATGCAAGCTTTGTTCACGCTATGCACGGCTGTGGTCTTCAGCTGCATTTTTGAGGTGAGATAAAAAACAACTTCTAACTCTCGACCAACACAGTGTAAAGGGTTTGAAAATAACAATATCAATAATACATAAACAAAAAGAAAGAAAAACGCGCGCTGGATGTGAGTGGTCTGCAGACGCACCTGTTGAGATGGTAGCGCCCCCATGGAAAACACCACAGTCACCCTCAGATGGGGACGTACAAATGACAATAGACCTTGATTTCGCTAAAAAAAAATATGTGTAAAGAGGTTACAGGGGCAGGGGGATTTCCACACCATAATACACCAAACTTTTTGGCAATAAAGCCACATTTTCAGCTATAGTTATGTAAAATGTTAGTATCCTAAGTAAGCTTTATTTAGGATAAAGTGATTGATCCTGCAATCACTTTCATTATAGTTGGCTTCTTTATTGATACATTTTACAAATAGATAAGATTAATTAAGGTTAAGAGATCCTTTATTCATCCTAGAGTTGGTGAATTTCAGTGTTGCTTCACAATTTGCAGAAAAGTATGAATGAGGACTTGAGGAGCACACAAGACAAGATACAATAAGTTAATATTAATTAATTAAGACCTACTGTATGCACTTTATAATTTTTCCCACAAAAATATTGGATCAGAGACGTTTCTTGTTCATCTATTCCTTGTACATGTGCTTTTTTAAGATGTATGATGAATGATCAATGAACTTTAGACAAAAACACTTGCCAAAATCATTGATAATAAACAAATTTTCTATAATATAATTTCTGTTAATCATTTTTTTTAGTGGATACTTTGGTTTTAGTGTCTGCCGTTATTGTCCAGTTAGGGAGTGAAAACATAATTTATCTTCTGCAAACATGTATATTTGCGTGTTATTAACTTCCTGTATTTCTGTTTCCTTTTTGTGTTATTTAACTGGTTTCTATTCAAAAACTTGAGTACTGAATAATAGGTGTTCGATTACGAGACATTCGTAGCCGACTTAATAAGTCAAAACCGAGCTAGAACCAAAACCTGATCCACCATTTACCAGAATCTGTAAGTGCGTTCCTAGAAATACTTCTACTTTGTACACACAGCTGGGTTAGGCACTTCACTTTTTATCTTAAATACTATGTTGTTTGTCCCAGCAGAAGTAAAATGAGCAAACTAGACCCCATCATGCTAACTAGAAAACATACTGTCTTCTTTAAGGATTTTAAGAATAAGACTTTTGAGTCACTATTTGAGGTTTTGGGCTGATTTAGGGCAAACACACAACAACATGCTTATGAAAACAAGTGATTTTAGCGCGTAACTATTACTACATGGATTTGATTCCATTAGTCCCAGTTTTGTCGTTTGAAATGAATAATAATAATAAAAAGGGGAAGATATTATTTCTGCTCTTCTTCTCTGCTCATGTTTCATTCAGACTGTGTGGTCTCTGTGTTTTTGCTGTTGTTGTGATCGTATGTCACTTTGAATGAAATTAAAAAGAAAGAAAAAAATAAGAACAACAGTAATGATAAAAATAATACATTTAATTTATAATGTACTCTACCTTTCCACAAAACCTCAACCTGCTACAGATTAAAATAAAAATATGAAAAAAACTTGAATATCAATCATTCAGTGAGAATTCTTAAACATTGATTTGACAAAAATCTCAACAAACCTCAAACAGCCTAACTATTTTGTACCATTGAAAACTTATGGTACTTATAGATAGCTGCTCCCGCTTTGTTGACACCATCAAACCCAATAATAATCCAGCACTTTTTGTAAAGACTTTCCCAAGTGACACAGGGACTCCACTTACGCCACTCTCTCCAGGTCAGCCATCGAAGTGACCTGGTCTCTTTCGTAAAGCGTGCTAACTTTAAGTGTGCGTCCCATGTATGTGTGAGCGTGTTTGGGGAGATACTGTAAGCCCTGAGACACCTGCCCTGGCTGCACCGGTCGGGCTGGAGCGAGGCTGGAGCTGGTGCACAGAGGTTGAGAATGGCATGTGGAGATGTGTGTGTGTGTGTGTGTGTGTGTGTGTGTGTGTGTTTGTGCGTGTGTGTGTGTGTGTGTGTGGCCGGTACAAAAGGGTCAGGAATGGAATGAAGCGCTGTGTCCCTGTCCCTTTGCCACTGGTTAAACTATCAAGGCCTGCAGCTAATCGTGGTGTTTATCAGCCCGCGAGCGCATTCTTCCACAAATCTGCATACTCCTTATAATCACGCAACGGGGAAATCGGTTAATTAAAGCGGTGGTTGTTTGGCAGGTTATCGGGGGAAAGGTTTGTTCAGTGGTTCCCAATCTTTTTGTCTTTAATGCTGTTTTCCATCTGAGAGAGGTATGGGTTTTGAGGTACGAAGGCATTGGAGCGAGCTACTTTTTAAAAGACAGAACCAGAGTTGAAAGATGAGGTGATGACGGATATAATGAATCAGATTAATTATTTTTTTGTAGAAGAAAAATAGACTAATAAAAAGGCATATTTTTGTTGAATGTTTTTAAGAATTAAGAGTGTTGGATTTGTTGCACAAGTTGCACTGATAAAAGTTAAGCAACTTGTTCCACATGTCTCTCTCATGTTGTTGTTTGTGTTTATGTGAACAGCAGACAGCAATGCAGAGAATTACACAGTGTTTTTATGTGATTAGGGCTGTTATCAGAGTAAAGTTGATGTACAAAACAGATTCAAACGGCCGTCTCTCTGCTTTGCTTTGAAATCTGCCGCTTATACAGTATACTAGTGCGGCCTGAGTGTGGACAAATGTATTATAGACCTGCACTTATTAGTCCAGCAAGTACAGTAAATGAAACAATATTGTTGGAACTAATTGACTTTATTTATCAAGTCCAACATGACAGAGTTATGTGGATAATGTTGCTTAACTTCATCTCTGTATTTCTTAGAATATGAGTGGGCTTGCATCTCCACAAACCTGTGTACTTCCATGAAATGTTGTTGTTGGCTGCAATCTTCCACATAATGACATCAAACATAATATATACTTCAACAGAGATTGTTCCATTCTATGGCTTTATATTCTATATTCAGGAATCATCTTGATGCTTTTCAACCTACACAACATACTGTTACAAGCTTAGCCTTAGATTGGCTACAAATATCTAAAACAATCTATAAACCCAGGTATTAGTGCATTTACCAAAGTTATAGGAATGGGATGTGAATCATTTGAGATATTGAGCAATATATTGATTTGTCATTATTTTTGGTGAGGAACTCTAAGAAGGTGGCGAGTTGTGAAAACATCTGCCCTAAACTATCCCTTACTTATTATTAATTACAGTATTTTCTTTATTTCTCTTATATAGTGTTATTATGGTAAATATAGTGATATATATTCTGCATCTGAACAAAATTACGATTTATTGAGTAAATTATTTGATTGTATTTAGGAGTTAACTGGGAGTCTGCTCTTCCTTTTTAGATGTAAATATATTAAGTTTGTTAACTCCATTGCATCAAACTACACTTGCAGTATTATCATCATTTGCAAAGGCATTCTTTATTCTGCGCTTCTATCTTTTTCTAAAATCAGTTTTTCTTAACACAAAAATTATGTCTTTTAATAAAAAGGAATTCACTATATAGTCTTGTGACGTTAAAACATTTGTATAAAAGGAGTGCAGCTCTTATCTCAACTTGAACATGTTCCATTATGCAAATACACACGTTTACATTTCCCATTATTCAATACTACGATAGCGTCATACATTGTTCTAAAAGTCTTCTCATCTGTATCAAAAACGAATGTTACATAATATGGGAGAAAACTTCAGAGCTTCCTTGTTGCAGTGATGTGATGTGTGACCGTCACCTGTTCATTAAACAGATAAAAAACACATGTTTACTTTTTAACTATTGTGTATTAAAGATTCATTTAATATAAATCAGAAGGAAAGCTGTAGTACAGAACTTTCCAGCCGCAAAAGAACACAATCCAGTTTGTTTCTATCTCTAGTTTTCACTTGGATGCATTTGTTTGCCTTTGTCACATCTTCAGACGTTTCAGACACAGTGACACAGACATGGCCTATCTTTCTCACCCATCAGCTCTGAGCCTGTATCGCTAGAATATATACATTTCAAAAATACAGATTTGTACCTATGTATTTTGTTACATATTCCAATGGTCCAATCAAACTACTGTTTTCTGAGAGAGAAAAAAACAACAAAACTATATTCATTTATTTATCACTAATTTCATATGCACAGGAGGGAAGTTTAATTGATTAAGGAAAAGCAAATTTACGCAGGGCAACACTGTACAAGAAATATGAAAATCACAAGTATCACATTATATTCATGCATTTAAACATCTTTCAGTTGTGTGCAATGTGAAGTGTTTTTTGGGAAATATCTATAGCCAGTAGCCACGCCCCTTCCCCCTGAGTTTTTATGAATACTTTTTCACTTTTTAACCAATGGACACAACCCTGATCTTTAGTCAAACATGAGTTGTAACTTCATAACGTTCTTGCAATTCCTTGAAACATCTAATACTGAATATGTTTGTACGGATTGGATCTCATGTGTCCTCTTTGACAATATCTTTGCATAAGCTACAGCAGCAAAGAACATATTATGGCCCCTATGCATCAATTATTTTGGTCTATCTCTGCTTCCATTCTTCTATCAGTCCTTCAGCTAAATGTCATCGCCATAAAAATGTGTATAGATGAAATATAGACATGGCATAGTTACCATTTTAGGAATACTTCAAAGCAGCGAATGACGTCTCCCATTTGCCTCATATGAGCCTGCCCTTCTTACCAAGCATACTGTAAATGCCACTGTCTGGTTTCGCATCATAATTTAAAAAGTCACAAATCAAGCCTTCTTTTGTGGCACGCTACCCCCCTTTCCGCCCACTGCAGCTCTCTCCTGCTGACGCCATTTCACATTTACATTGTCTCCAAGAGTCCTCACTTGTGCCTGGAAGCTTTGCGTGTTGCCATATACAAAAAAGTCAAAGTTCCTCAACTCGATGTAAATGAGAGACAGGCCGACCGCTTCAATCAA